TCTGCACCTTACCATATTCGTTGTGATCTTTGGTGGCGACAATGCGATTGCATGACGGCAATCTCTGACTGCTTATAGTAGCGATTGCTGCTTCATTGCGTGATTTATTCTGTGTGCTAACGCTCCCGATGGTTTGATTCAATGTTCTTGGCAACATTCGGCTTGAAAGTCATGGCAGCCGGTCACACATGCTCTGACGTGATCTGATGTGGTCAGTTTGCCAAAAAAGTCGAACGTTTCACGTGTCTAAGTCTATCATGTCGATGGAGGTGTTGCGTCAAATCTGAATGTCTAATTCAATCGTTTAAAAACAGCAAAACCTTTGAATTTATGCCAAAAGCGATTTTCCTAAGGCGGCAGCACAATTATTAGATGTCATCGAAGCACCCACATGAAAGTGGCGACGAGCGCGCCCAGGCAACGCCATTAACTGACGATGCAGGCGGCCGAAGCAACGTTTGCCGTACAAAAGACGGCGCTACACCGCAAACCAAGAGCGTGTCCTCGCACGGCTTTGAGCGACTAAAGGAGGCTTCCTTCCCCTGCGCCATAACGTCGTTACCACACGTTCTGAGCCTCATCGACACTCTGATTATGTCTCCTGAAGAAGCTGCAATCGAAGCCGCACGAACCGGCCAGCTGATATGGCTGAATGAAATTAAACACAGATTCAAAAAGTGTGACTTGAGAGACGCCTTCGTAGGAGCTGCTGGTAGTGGACATGTGGATATTGTGGTGAGGCTGTACATCTACGTTGACCCCTACAAGGTTAGGGGGGCGGTTGGAAAAGTTGTTAACGCGATTACGAGAGCTGCAACAAACGGTCATTTGAATGTGATCCAGTTCTTACTGCCCAAGACCGCGAATAGAGCAACATACGAAGGCCTCATTCCAGCACTTGACGCAGCAGCTGAAAAAGGTCATTTGGGTATTGTGAAATTCATGGTGAATCATGCCAAATTAAAATGTTATCACAATTGGGTACTGGGGCAGATTTAGATTAGTCGACGCACTTTCGTGTGCGATCTCTTCCAAGCAAACCGAAGTTGTGGAATATCTCTTCAGCCTGTCCGGGTCGGAATTCCATTGGAACTTTAAAGCTGCCGTAATGGCTGCCGCTCATGCGGAACAGAAGTACCTTCTTCGAAGGATTTACGAGCTGTACGCGACCACTACCTTTTGTGAGACCAATATGTTCGTTGATTTGGCGCGGGATGATCTGTACTTACGGGGTGTCATATATTTATACGAAAATGGATGGGACGACATGATTCTGCTTGGTGACGCCTTTGTTGCTGCAGCTAGTGGAGGAGCTGTGAAAACGCTGCAGGTGTTCCTCAACACGGGACGAATATCACAAGGACTCTTCGATAAAGCTTTTGAAACGGTGTTCGAGTCGGAAGGAGCTGTAGACTTCCTGTACTCAAAGAAACGCGCTTCTGCTTCAGCAATTAACCGGGCCTTCACGCTAACAAAAAACCTCTCACGGATCAGGTTTTTGCTCGAGAACGAGCAAATTTCCGACGACACGATCAGTGCGGCGTTCAGCAAAGCATGTAAGGCTACACCAACAGGAATCGCATGTACATATTAAGGTATTTGGGCAAACTGGACTGCATTCCACCCGAGGTTTTTGACGACGCCTTTGCCTACGCTGCAAAGTATTCTGACTCGGAGATAATGGACTTTCTTCGTGGAGACGAACGCCTTTCGCCAGATGTGGCGTTTCTAAATGCTGCTGTACATGGCCAATCAAAGATGATGGAGTCTGTGTATGACGTCAAGAAGATTTCACCGGAAACAATCTTGACAGCTTATACTAAGTGCGCTGGGTTTGGTTGTATCTACATACCCCCAGCGCCTTTTATGGTATATGCGTGAGAAACACCACGTACCACAGACGATACGACTTCGTGCGTTCGTACAAGCGGCTAAAGTGGGTTGTTGGTGGGCTCTAAAGGAACTTAATGCCAGTGAAGACGGAAACTTGCCTCTTTTTTCAATGAAAAAGGCATTGGTCGCAGCAAGAGACGACACAACTAAGAACTATATACGCAAGATTATCTGCGAACAGCTATTCGATAGGAAAGTGGAGTGTGGATGCGGCTGTGGTAACGTGATCCACCGAATCGAGTGAAATTTTACGTGGTAGTGCCCCTATGCAAAATGGTACCTCTAGTACGGGTTTCTAGAAGGTAGAATTCCCTGGGAGTACTTTTACATATTAGCAATTTTACCGTTTCCGATTAGCTTTTGCGACTTTGTACCAAAATAATATTTCGATATTATTGAAGTCTTCAAAATTCGCGCTACGTTTCGTACTAATATTCTACGCAGGTTTTAAAACAAACTATTGTGACAGATTGTGTGACAGAAGTTGATAACGTTTTAATAACTACTGTAGTGGATAGCAGAAGTTAATAGAATTTGATGATTTTGGACATCATTTTCAGTCAAACAGTGCGAATATCATGCTTCGAAGCCTTGCTAGTGTCCTTACTTTTTAATAATAGATCAAAAGTTTCTCCTGAGGTCAAGTGCCAGAAACACGGGTCTAAAAATATGTGCTAGCAAAAGACAGCAGTTCTGTAAAAACAAAATTTCGGTATTTCTCATCGTTAGCGGAGTATTTTTCAATGACGAAAGTTTGCCCCAGTAGCTAAGGACTATTTCTGAAGTACTAATACTGAAATACTCCAATATCATGAAAAATGACGTGTGATGCTAATGACTTCCCAGCTTTGACATTTTTATACTTCTTTCTTCATCATTTTACCAGTGCTTTCCGTGTCCGTGGTTGCCTCTTACAATGCATTATTAGAATCCTGATGGCATCGTAGCGACACCAGCAAAAGTAGAGCACCCAATTGTACAAATTAAATTCATTCATTAACACACGTGGTGCTTCACTGACTATTACGTAAGATTTCACTCGATTCGGTGAATCACAGCCGCGTCCACACTCCACTTTTCCCTCTAAAAAGTTGTTCACAGATAACTTTGCGTATTTAGTTCCCAGATTTGTCGTCCATTGCTGCGGTCAATGCCCTTTTCAATAAAACAAGAGGCAAGTTTCCGTCTTCGCTTCCATTCAGCACATCTCGGGCCTATTTCCAACGCCGTTTAGTCGAATGAACAAACGCAGTGTGTCGTATCGCTTGTCGTACGTGGTGTTAAGCACACAAATACTTTACAAGATTCTAGGGTATGTCAGGACAATGGTTTAAAGCTGTCAGGATTGTTTCCGGTGATATCTTTCGACGTCATACGCAGATGTCATCATATCATGCATAAAAGCATTTAGAAAAACCACCTCTGGCGGTAGGCGTGCGTCTCCAGGGAGATAGTCCAAAATCTTAGAGTCGAAATGCTCTGCAGCGTACGCAAAAGCCTCGCCAATGACCTCGGCTGGAATGCAGTCCAACTTACCCAAATACCTCACGACTTCCATGCGGTTGTCACCTCCATCCGACTGGTGACTGTAGGTGCGTTTAGCTTTACATGCTTTACTAAACGCCGCACTGATCGACTCATCGGAGATCTGCTCGTTCTTGTGCAAAAGCTTAACGAGAGTGGGGTTCTTCATAAGTGTGAATGCCCGGTTAATTGCTGAAGAAGAAGCACGCTTCTTTTCGTACAGGAAGTTTACAGCTCGACTGCAGTTTCAAAAACTTAATCAAAGCGTTTTTGTGATATGCGTCTCCTGTCAGGGAACAAGTCGAGCGTCTCTACAGCTCCCTCACTATACCAGCAACAAACGCGTCATTAAGCAGGGTCAACTTGTCCCATCCATTGACGTATAAATACTTGACACCCATAAGTACAGATCGTCCCGCGCCAAATCAAGGAGCAAATTGGCCTCCCTATAGTTAGTGGTCGGGTATAGCTCGTCAATTATCCTAATCAGGCCCTTCCGTTCCGCATGAATTGGAGCTACTAAGGCAGCTTTTAAGCTCCAGTATAACTCGTCCAACACAAACTCGACAATTTCACTGTGTTTAAAGAAGATCGCACACGACAGTGCGTTGACTTACCTCCATTTGCCGAGTACCCATTCGTATTTTTTCAATGTCGCATGTTTTTCCATGAACAAATGGACTTTTTCAGCTGCTGCATCAAACGCTGGGATGACTCCTTAGTATGTTGTTTTATCGGGTTTCTCGAACAAATCCACCTTCTTGGACAGGAAGAAGTGTATCACGCTCAAATGACCATTTGGTGCAGCGCTAAAAATTGCGCTACATACTCGTGCAGCCGCCCCCTTGGCCTCATCTTCAGTAGATGGATCAATGTACACGTACAACCTCGCCACGATATCCACGTGTCTACTAGCAGCAGCTTTAACGAAGGCATCTCTTAAGTTACAGTCTTCGAATCGCTCTATGATTTCATTAAGCCATTCCAACTGGCCAATTCGTGGGGCTTCGACTGCAGCTTCATCAGATTACATGAGTAGAGTGTCTAGGAGGCTCAGAACGTGTGATAACGCCATGATGGCGCAGGGAACTGTAGTCGTTCAAACTCATGCAAAGACAAATTATTGGTTTGCGTTATGGCGCCGTCTGCTGCTTGGCAAGTGTTGATGTGACGGTCTCCTTCGCCAGCAGTTGGCGCTGTCCGGGCGCTTTGCGGAGATCGGATCTTTGGATGCCGAGCTTCGGTGTCGAAGCAATGGACTCCGCTTTATGAATGGCAACAAGGTTGGATTAACCCAAGGGCACCCCTCTAATTCTGAGTTTTATGAATTGTTTGTGCAGGGTGTGTTTAGTAAAGTCCTGAAGGGATATCAGATTTAAACGCCATGGTACCAATAACCCATTACCCAACCACCCCTCTTGGGTTAATCCTTCTTTATGCACATTTCTAACGATAAAATTAGAAATTTCAGATTAGACGCTATCACCTCCAGTTCAACTTCCTCGATTAGACGCATCAAGGTGCTGCCTAGAAGGCTATCAGGGATGGCCACATCCTAATAACCACGCCGCCTCCTAGTGAAAATGGGCGAGGAACTTTCTACCGACCATGTCAAGGCGCATGGGGCGGCTGACGGAGCTGCCAAGTGCTGCTATTACGACAAGGACCAGCCATCGAACGGCGGTTGCTTTGAGAGCATCAACGCACAGAATAAGCCACACAATGGAGCAGCAATCGCTACTGGGAAGCAGTCAGCGATAACGCATGCTATCGCAGTGTCGCCCTTAAAGTCCTCGACGAAAGTGGTGAAGGTGCACGTGTCAAAGGACTACATGAAGTTCAATGCCGCTCACTTCATCGCATACAAGGTAACTTACCGCGCAGAAAAATAAAAACGAATAGATATACCCGGGGTGAAGCACTTAACCGATTGGATATTTTGTGGCAGGGATTCCGAGAGAAGCTGCATGGCCACAACTATCGCTTGGCTGTCACGATTACAGGAGAAGTTGGCTCGGATGGATACGTGATTGACTTTGGAGAAATTAAGAGGATGTCGCGTGTAATCTGCAAGGACTTGAACGAATCCTTTCTTGTACCCATGAAAAGTGATGCGCTGAAGGTAAGCAAAGTGCTAGAACTAACGATAATACTTTGATTGACATAAAGGTTGGCTTAGATTTCATGTGACGGCACGAATATCCACATAGCTACGGAAGACATGGCGACATTTAGGTATTTTGATTTTATGACGTAAAGAGTGTCCGTGATTGTTATTTTATTTATTGTTTCTTATTCGCCTTATACAGTTTTCCTAAGACCGACTGCTCTTTGCTGCCAATCGTACACACATCAGCAGAGGAGCTCGCCATTCACATCGTAAGAACCCGCAACTTTACTTGGGTTACACTAGGTTTGTTGACGTACATATATTTTGTGCAGAGTAACCGGCTCCTGGACGCATTCACACTCGACGCGCTCCTGGTAAACAGTAATTGGTGGTAGAAAGATAACTGCTCGAGTGCTAACGTCCTTTAATTTATGCTTTTACAGAGGCGAGGCGTGCAGAAACTGGAGGTGACACTTTCGGAGGCAGACCAGCAGTTCGCTTCGTACGAGCGCGTCCTGCTCGTTTAGATACCGTCATAGTGTACTCGTAGAATAAACGTTGAAAGTTTGTGAGGAAAATAAGATTATGGCAAACATTCAAGGCAATCCTTATCCTGGGAAGAAAAGCTGTATGACACACAGTATTGACATAGTTTCTGTAACGGGGTACGTAGCCCTAAGTGTACCCTGGTTACATGAAGTGTGACACTTCACACTTCAGGAGTATGACACGTCATACTCCGGGATATTTGGTACAAGGTACCAAGGTCGTTCAAAGCCAACCATATGTTAAATGACATTGCATTTCTATAGGTAACTAATAGTTTGTATTAAACCCAAACTTAACCTACCTATAAATATACTCAGTTTACAATCTACCTTATTTAGGTCACTTCGCTCTCTTTAATTAAAGAGGGGACCTGTGAACTGCCGTTCACTGAGAGTTTGTATACTCTCGGAAGATAACTTCCTCTAGCGCAAGGTGCTGTGTGACCCCGTCACACTTGGTAGCACTCGTAGTCAATCCACGCCATCGCGGGTAGACTACCTGAACCTCTCCGAAGTTCGTTGCCATGGATAGGAACGACTTCTCCCATTTGAACGACTCTCAGTTCGAGTCGGTTCGGAAGATGGCAGGCATCTTCGGGATGGAGGCCCTGCAGAGCCTGGTGGTGTCAACACCGGCTGAGCAGCTCGAGCGCGTCAATGCATTTGACGCGTACGAGCAGGGCCTCATCGCGCATGTGCGGGAGAACCTGCAGGCTCCGGCGGCGGAAGTAAATCCGCCTCACCCGAAGCCAATACGGCTGAAGGTTAAGCCGTATGAAGGGAAGGAAGGCGAGAACCTTCACGTCCGGGTCCGAGAAGTAGAGCTCGCGATGGACGCGGCTCTAATCTCGACCGAGCAACTGCGTGTCGCTTTTGCACTCTCCAACCTTAGCGGCCGTGCTAAGAGTTGTGTGTACACACGGGAAGCAACATCCCCTGGATGTTTCACATCCTGGGCTCAGCTGTGCGAACAGCTCCGAGCCGCGTTCCTCCCGGCATACTACGAGTACCGCCAGCGTTCGCGCTTCCTCGCGTGTCAACAAGGAAGGCGCGAGCTGCACGAGTATGTGCAAGAGATACGGGAGCTCACGGCGTCCCTAGTGGGAAACCCACTCAACGAACACATCAAGATGACTGTGTTCATGGACGGCCTTCGAGCGGGCCCCGCACGCACTCAGCCGTTCCGGGTGCAGTCAAGCACCCTTGAAGAGGCGATTCAAGTGGCTTTTCAAGAAGGGTACAGCCATCGCCAGGCGCGTACGCCGGCCTCAGCGTGGCCTGGGAGTTCCTTGTCGGCTCCCGGTCGAACAAGCCCCAACGGACCCGTTCCCATGGAACTCGGGTCCGCCGAACAGCGTGACATCCGCTGCTTCGGCTGCGGGAAGGTGGGCCACTTCAAGCGCGACTGTCCCGCGGAAAGACTCCGCAGACGGTCCTTCCCCAAGCCCGTCCTCAAGGGTCGCTGGCAGAAGCCAGGATCCCGGGGACAGGGGAACGCCGGGAACCAGTAGGGGCGTGGCGCCCTACTGGGAAAAGAACTAAGTCTTCGTGATGGGTGCGCGGGTGGCGCGTACCACGAGGACTTAGCCCCTGAGAGTCTTCGCACTCTCAAATCGGCGAAGAGCAACGGCGGGCTGCTCGTAGTACACAGATGTGTACGGGGATACGATCATCCCTTTAGAATCTTGATCGATTCTGGGGCGTCGAAGAATTTCGCACGCCGCCAGACGGTTGCTCGCAGCAGCAACAAGTCGTCCGATGCTTTGAGAGAAAGCAAGGGCAACGGGACGGTGTCAGTACGACTAGCCGACGGGAAGGTCGTCTCTGTCCTTAACGTCCAAGTGGATCTGGCCGTCAAGTTTGAAGACTTTGACAGCCTCGAACTGTTCACTGTTCTCGATATGGATCCATATGATATGATCCTGGGCATGCCCTGGCTTGAGAAGCACGAGCCCTGGATCGACTGGCGAGGCAAGGCAATCGGTGCCAGCCGCCCTGCGCAGTCCGACCGAGCATTGGCGAGTCATGTTCCCACTCTGTCAGGACCTGGGGCGCCCGCAAGGGCTGCCAGGGTACCAAAGCATTCGGCAGATGCTTGGGAGTCGTCGACGTATATGACGACTCCGAGGATGCTTTGATGGTGGCCGCGCCAAGAAACGGCGCTGGCCAAGTGGGTAATCTAGGTCCACAGGCTGGTAACTTAGTTCCGCAGACAGCTGCAGCTGTCACGAACACTGAAAACAGCGTGTTCAGAGTGGGTAACAGAGTTCCACTCACGGTCGCCCAGACCATAACTGAAGAGGAAGACGTCGGATACGCTTCCTGTGTGGGTAACACAGTGTCACACGCGGTCGCCCAGACCATAACTGAAGAGGAAGACGTCAGATACGCTTCCTGTGTGGGTAACACAGTGCCACACGCGATCGCCCAGACCTTAACTGAAGAGGAAGGCGTCGAACACGCTTCGTGTGTGGGTACCACAGTACCACACGAGGCCACGAGTGCCTCGGATGTCGTAGCGCCGACATCCCTAGACGTGGGAAGCAAAGCTCCCCGTCACAGTCGCCGTCGTCAACGACGCCGACGCCGCCTCAAGTCGGATCCGAACTTCGTTCCGATCGACGTCGCTTCAAGCGACTCGGAGTCCAGGGCCCGGGCTCCTCCGACAAGGCCGGTGGAAGAGTGTTATCACATCTTCGATGGCGAGACTGGATTACCCGTCAAGGCATCTGGTGTCCACTTGGAACCGCTGCGAGAGGTCGCAGGGATACTGCACCTCGACGAAATGACGGCTGAGTCTTTCCTGACCAGCCTCAAGGCTGGAGCGATTGCTGAGATGGTACTTATGAGACCTGATACCACTCAGGAGGAGCTGAACTCCTCCTCTCTCTTGGACGAGAACGTCCTGGAAGACCTGAACAAGCAGCGTCAGGCGCGCTTGGGTTCTGAGATTCTCAAGAACCCCAAGGATCCGGTGTATCCTTTGGTGACGGAGTATGCGGACGTGGTGAACAAACACCCACCGACCCAACTCCTACCGGATCGAGGCGTACGGCACGAGATTGATCTCGTGCCCGGCACAAAGTATTGTGTCACGATACGTTGGCCGCTCCCGCGCGAGCAGTGCTAGGTCATTGATGCCTTCTTCGTCGCGAAAGCGAAGGCAGGCATGGTGCGGGAGTCGAAATCCCCGCACTCGACGCCAACTTTCTGCGTTCGGAAGCCGAACGGAAAGTGGCGTCTAGTTCACGCTTATAACAAGCTGAACAATGCAACGGTGCCGGCCCAAACACCAATCCCACGAAAGGATGTGTTGTTGAACAACATGGCCGGGAGCGTACTGTATAGTGCGCTGGATTTGGTAGACGGATACTACCAAATCCTGATGCGAGAGAGCGACATCCCGCTCACCGCGGTAAGCACTCCAAGCGGCATGCTTTGGGAGTGGCTCGTCATGCCGCAGGGCTTGTCTAACGACCCGGCGACGTTCAATCGCCTGGTGACACAATTGTTCCGCCCTTTGCGTACCTTCGTACAGACGTACTTTGACGACATATTCGTCCATAGCCGTGCCGAAGGAGGCAAGACGGCCATGGAAGTGCACCTAGGACACCTCCGTCGAGTGTTGGACGTAATGCGAGCGAACAAGCTCTACGCCAATATCGACAAGTGCGCTTTCGCGTCACCAGAGATTAATGTTCTCGGTTGCTTCGTATGCAACGTGGGCGTTCGGGCTGACCCAGACAAAGTCAAGGCTTTAGCAGCATGGCCGATGCCCCGATCCCAGAAGGATCTTCGAAAGTGGTTAGGCTTGGCCAACTACCTTCACAAGTACAGCGCAGGGTACGCGGGCTCCGCTAAGCCCTTGTCGAGTCTCCTTGAGAAGGACGTCGACTGGCGCCGGGAGCAGGAGCAGTAGGATGCTTTTGACAGCATCAAGGCCGGTCTCCAAGAGGTCCCTGTCCTGGCCCTGCCGGACGAGACGAAGCCGATTAGCGTCGTCTGCGATGCCTCCGATTACGCCATCGGATGTGCATTCCTACAGACCGACACGGCTGGACATGAACGAGTCATCTTGTTCCAGTCCAGGCAGCTGAAAGCCGCCGAGCGGAACTACCCTGTCTACGCCAAGGAGCTTTTGGCAATGAAATATGCCCTTGTAAAGTTTCGTGTTCACCTTCTGGGCTGTAAGCCTTTTGTGATCTACACAGACCACGCGTCCTTGAGGACGGCGACTAACTCGCCTCACCTCTCCCAAAGGATGGCGAGGTGGCTGTCCTTCTTCGCGAAATACAACTTCCGCGTCGAATACAAGCCGGGCAAGCTCAACGTGCTTGCGGACGCCCTCTCTTGGCGTCCCGACTATGAGTTGGCCCACATCACGCGGGTGACAACGGATCTATTTGATCGGATACGCATGGATAAACACTGGACGTCTGTCGTCAATGTTGATTCCCCAGTCTGCGTCCGTAAACGCTTCTGCCTTGACAGCTTGCGTTCCATATCCACTTGTTCCACTTTTGTAAACGATACCATGATGGCAAGTGGACTTCAAATACTGCAGAACACAAATCGCTGCCTTGTAGTGTTGCGCTCCAGGATTCTCTAGAAAACGTGACAACTGCGTGACAACGTAGGCAATGTCCGGCCGCGTGCAGGTTGTGATGTACAAGAGGCACCCGATTAAGGAACGATACGGTCGTGACCGCATTTCAGCACGTTCTTTTTCCGTAGTCGGCGACATCATCTTGGACAACTTCAGGTTTGCTGCACAAGGGTTCTCCACCATCTTGGCGTTCCGTTGATTAAATCGTTTCACAATGTCGTCAATGTACCGAGTTTTCTTGATCATTAACGTTCCACATTCGCTATCGTGGTCAATCTCCATTCCCAAAATAAATTTGGCCTCGATAAGCTCCTTCATCTTGAATGCGCTCTTCAAGGCGTCCTTGGCCTCGCGAATTTCGTCGCGCGCCTTT